GCCCAGCAGCTTCCCCACCTCTCCCGGCTCCTCCGTGGGTGCCAGCCCACTTCCACTTCCGGCAGCCGCCGCAGCCGCCCCAGCCCAGTCCCCTCCGCACCCACTTCCTCCGGTTCACGTGCCCCCTCCCATCCACATGTCTGTCTGTCTGTGTGTGCACATGTCTTCGTGTGCATGGGGCTCCTGTTCTCGGCTGGGTCTGGGTTCGTCTGCTCGGGTCGCCATAGCAACATACACAGCCTGGGTGGCTCAAGCAAGGACATTGCCTTTCCCGCAGTCCTGAAGGCCAGAGGTCCTGGATCAAGGTGCCTCTGGCTTGGTGGCTGAGGGAGGAAGGAGCCGGGCTCTTCGTGGGTGGAGACACGGGATGCGGCGCCTCCCGACGGCGGAACGTGAGTCGGCCTTACCAGAGAGGAAGCGCTGGCAGCTGCTAAACACGCTGGCCCTCGGGAGCTACGAGCAGGACAGGACAGAACTGTGTGACCCCACCATGTGGGGCCATGGGAGAGGCCACAGAAGGGACAGGAGTGACGTCTGTGAGGTCCTGGAGTAGGCTGCACCAGGGGACAGGAGTGGGGTCCCGGCCTCACGGCTTGGAGGGCTGGGTTACTCGACAAGGTCTCCGAGTTTCTCTTGGGAAGGTGACAGGTTCTGGAGTGGATGCTGGCAGGGGCTGCACACACTGTGATGTCTGAGGCTGCTCATCTTGGCCTGGCCCCAGGTGTCCCTGGTCACCTTGTGAATGTTAACCACAACAAAGGGAAAATAAACCCAGAGCGACCTTGGAGGCCAGTTGGTGGGATGCCCTGTGTCCTGACTGTCCTCCCCCATACTGTCCCAGCGATCTGCATGGCGATGAGGTGGCAGACCCGGGGACACAGGTCTGCGTGTCGTCCCTGTGACTTCCAGGGTCCTCCTGCAGTGAAGTTCCCTGGAGAGTCAGGGCTACAGAAGCCGGGGGATCACAAGGTCTGTGGGAAGTGGTCTCAGGGTTGCCCCAGGCCTTATCCAACTTCCCAGTGGCAGGGTCTTCCTGGGGAGCCTACGGCCGGCATGTGGGGTGCCTTCCTGACACTCCGCCATCACCACCGGTCCCGCCTGGTCCTCATGGAGTGTGAGGGAGCTGACTCAGCTTCGCCTCCTCATCTTGGTGTGGTTGCAGACCTAGCCTGTGGGTGGCAGAGAGCACGGGCTTCAGCACAGCCTCCTCAGTCTGGCAGAAGACCCCCAGGAGCACCTCCTGCCCTCCAGAGCCGGAGGGAGGCCTGCCGGCGACAGGGTCCTGGGAGACACCGCTGCAGAGACCCCCGCGTGGAGGTGCCCCCGCTCCCTGCCGCAGGAGGGCGCTCCTTCCTCTCCCTGCTCAGCATTCGGCCCAGCCTTCATCTCTGCTCCAGCGTCCAGTCCTCAGGCACAGCCTCCATCTGCTCCAATAAGATCCAGAGTCTAGGCCCAAAATGCGGCTGAAACATCCCACGGGCAACAGGCCCGTGGCTGGGCTCCTGGGCCGGTGTGGGACTGGCTGCCCAGATGACCAGGAGAACATGGGCTGGAGACACCCTGCCCGGGCTGGCCTACTGCACAGCCTACAGGGCATAGGCCCCAGAGAGGCCTGGCGGGGAGGGGCCCTGTCTCCAGTCCGGAGCAGATTGAGGGCCTCTGCCCCCCATGGGGAAGTGGGGGGACCCTGAGCCTGCTGAGCCTC